GCCAGGCTCTTCTTGGTGGTGCTGAGCAATAGGACAAGAGGCCATGGGCAGAAACTGATGCACAGGAAGTTCCACATGATCATGAAGAAGTTCTTCACTGTGTGGGTGACTGAGCACTGGAACAGACTGCCCAGAGAGGCTGTGGATTCCCCCTCACTGGAGATATTCAAGAACCGCCTGCATGAGATCCTGTGCCATGTGATCCAGGATGACCACGTCTGAGCAGGGAGGTTGGACCAGATGCCCCACTGTGATCCTTTCCAACTTGACCCACTCTGTGACTCTGTAATAGACTTATGCAGCATGGGCACAAAAAAGAGCACAAGGATAATACCCTCAGGGATAAAGGACTGATTAGAAACAGTGCTTCAAGGACTACCTTGAGGATCAGCAAACTTAAGTCATTGTAGTTGAAGCACAAGAACGAATGTTAAAAGCATACCTATAATTTTATTGCAAAAGCCTCCCACTTCTCACATCTAACATTTGAGGTCATGATTAACACAAAGGCATAGGCAATTTAGGTATTTGCCTGCTTATACAAGGGGTCATTTGAAACAATCAAGCAGTGGTGAGAATAACTACTATGCCCACGGAGACACTGCCCACAACTGTGTGCTAAAGCAAAACACCTCTTTAAGGGGATTAAATATAAAGGTTACTCTAAATTATAGCTTTTGTGTACGTGAGTAGGAATTTTTTCTTATTTGTACAAGGTTCCACAAGTTCAGATATAATTCTCATCTCCAGATGTCGTGCCAGTTGTCTGCTGAGTGAAGGAGGTGCCTTATTCTCAACAGCTGTTGTAGGAAACAGTTATACCAATGTCACACCCACTTGGAATTTTTGTCTTGGGCATATTAATCACATTAGAGCCCAAACCAGTTGAGCTGCTCTTCTGAACATCAATCCAACAAGGAATTTAAGTTTATACCTGACTTTATACATGTAAGTGTATTAATGAAAACTGCTCACATTTTTGAAGCTAGACAGGTACTACAATTCCTTATGTGCACCCGATTTCTTAATGATGATGGATTGGGACTAGCAGGGGAGGAAGACTTGGGTGTGTTTGTGGACGAAAAGCTCAATACGACTCAACAGTGTGTGCTTGCAGTTCAGAAAACCAACCACATCCTGGGCTGAAACAAAAGTAGCATGGCCAGCAGGGTGAGGGAGGTGATTCTCCCCCTCTTCTCTACTCTTGTGAGACCCCACCTTGGAGTACTGGGGTCCTCAAAAAAAGGAAAAGCACGGACCTATTGAATGGGTTCAGAGGAGAGACACTAAGTTGTTCAGAGGTCTGGGGCACCTGACCTAGCCTGGAGAAGTGAAGGCTCCAGAGAGACCTTACAGCAGCCTTCAAGTACCTAAAGGGGTTGGAGAGGGACTTTTCATAAGGACATGTAGTGACAGGACAAAGGGGAATAGCTTTAAGCTGAAGGAGGGTAGGTTTAGATTGGATATTAGAAAAAAATCTTTACTGTTAGGGTGGTGAGGCACTGGAACAGGTTTCCCAGAGGGCTCCCCACTCTTAGAAATGTTCAAGACCAGGTTAGATGGGGCTCTGACCAACTTGGTCCCAGTGGATGGTGTCCCTGCCCATGGCAGTACCCATGTTTCATGGCACTTCTGTGGACTCCAGACTGTTAATCTGCTAGCAGGGTAGTAGATGAATACTGCTTTATTTTGCAACTGCAAACATCCTCTCTGCATCAAACAGAAAACACAGTTTCTCTAGTGATTACCAGACAAGTCACACATGATGCCCAAATTCTCTTCCTCATCTTCTCAGCCAGGAGTCATCAAAAAATGTTGCCCCAACAATGAACAATGCTACTTGCACAAAACTTAGGATACCACTGAAATCAAATAAAAACTGTGATGTGTGTTAAAGGAAATAAAAAAATGGGTTATAGAAAGGAAGAAGTCCCGAATCTGATTTGGTAAAACACGGGGCAGCAGAGCAGAGTGGAGGGACTTCTGAGTGTGCATGGAAGTAATCTGCATGAAACTGTTGTGGTGAACTTCCCATGCTTGGAGAGATTTCTAGCATCCTACACATCAGATCAGAAAACATGATGACACAGCAGGGAGCTGGGGAGGAATGATGTAGCAAGCCTCAGAAGAGCCATGGGGCATGAAGATCTGTGCCCACATCTCTGCACCATGAACCACACTCCCTCTTTCTGAGAAAACTAACAGTGAGTTCCCTGTCATAGTTACAGCACCATCCATCAGGTGTCAAAGAAAACATATCTGAAACACATAAACATAAAATAAAATGGCAATTCTAGCAGTTAAAGGGCACTGACACCTAAATTACCTGTAACTTCATTCAAAACAATAAACTCCAAGCAGCCAGACATTCACAGTACCCTTGATCACACGGAGCAGAGAAGTAGTGTCAAAAAAGATGAAGCCTTCCAGAGGACTCTGTAAGCATGCCTGCTGAAGGATGCTTGCCACCCATGCCTGATACCTGTGTGAAGGATTTAAGCCCCAAATTTCTTTCAAAAATGCACAGAGGTACACTGCTGTGAAAGTTCCACTCTTCCCTAGATGATGGGAAGAAATGTGATAAAGCAGAAGCTACAGTATGCTGAAAGGACTACACACATTTGAAACCTCTATATAAGTATATGCATATATATATATATATGTATATATATACACACACATATATATAACCAACATTATCATGTGGAGTTACACTCAGCTCTGCCCACGAAAGGAAAGGATAGAGCTACCTGACCTCCTTACACTTTCATATACCAGCATAAACTTTGCCACTGGAGAACCATAGTGTTAAAAAGAATCACCAAAGTGCCCTCCTGGACAACAGTATCTACAGGGAGATATCACCGAGAAGCAGTTATCTTCCTAATAGGCATATTTCTTTTTTTTGGTTCTGTTTTACAGCAAAAATATATTCTTAGTATTCACAGTAGTACTTTTTCAAAGACAGGTTATATAAAGCAATACAACACACACACACAGAGGCACGCAAAAATAAAATGTGAATGACTCATTGCACTTATGCAAACTAAGTTGCGTAAGCCTGTTTTTCTCAGCTCTTAAAAAACCCAAAACAGCACATACACAACCCTAAAAAATGAGCTGGAATTCTCAGTTATGAAAGTTAAAACTGCTGAATAAAAGCAGAACTCCCTCAGCTTCTCAGGGTCCTTCACACTCACATCTGGTGTAGTGTTTACCGATGGATAAAAATAGAAAGTTGAGACTTAGTAGACCCTAACATTTATCACAGTATTTAAGAGTCAAAACAGAAAAGTGACATTCACTTCAGGCAAAATAACCCTGAACAGGGAGAGATCAACAGCTACATTTTGAAGGGGATCCAGTTAATCCTCTCTGAAATACCACCCTTAGGTACAGGGTAGAAAGAAAATAATCAGCTCTATTTCTTCAACAAGTAGGTAATTATAATAATGCAACCTGAAAAGAATGTAATCTTTAAAAAAAAATCTTGCAGAATTTCCTCTAAACCATTACATACTACCCATATTAATTGTTGGCAGAAGACATCACAGGAGTTGGTTTCTTTAGACGTGCACAAAATCAATCTTTCTTGCTAAAGAGCAGGAGTATTCTCTTATCTGACAGAACCAGCAGTCAACAGCAGGAATGCTAGAGGTGGGACACGAGCACATGTGTCACTGTTCAGGGGTTCAATAACCATCATCTATCCCAGGCACATGGCATCCCAGATCAGCCTGTAAGCAGTAGGTCTTTGACTTCAGATTTGGAAAAGGCATCAATAGTTTGGCAGACCAACCTTTAGACCTGCCAAATCATGCCTTGGAATAGATAGGCTGCCACAAAATTTAGATAAGTTAAGCCCTGGATTAAGGAAGATGTAGCATAAATGAACCTTCTAATGTATTCTCAGAAGCGTGATCCACAATAATTTAAGAGAGCATTTGCAAATAATCCTTCTTAAATTGCAGTAGTAGCATTACTTCGGTAAATTATTCAAATCTACTGCTGATGAGATGATATCGGGCCAGAAAATTATATGAGTCAGCTAACTTAGTCTTACAAGATCCTGTTCTCTCATACACAGCACACAGACACACAGCACATAGGCAGGGCACATGAGTGCTCAGCCATTGGACCCCATGAGCACCTGGATGTCATAGAATCATAGAATGGTTTGGGTTGGAAGGGACCCTGAAGGACATCTATTTCCAACACCCCTGCCATGAGCAGGTTGCTCAGAGCCCCATCCAACCTGGCCTTGAACACTTGCCAGGGATGGGGCATCCACAACTTCTCTGGGAAGCCTGTTCCAGTGTTTCACCACTCTCATAGTAAAGAATTTCTTCCTAATATCTAACCTAAATTTCCCCTCTTTCAGTTTGAAGCCATTACTCTTTGTCCTGTCACTACAGTTCCTGACCAAGGATCCCTCTCTGGCTTCCTTGTAGGCCCCTTCAGACACTGGAAGGTTGCCATGAGGTCTCCACACAACCTTCTCTTCTCCAGGCTGAACAGCCCCGACTTTCTCAGCCTCTTTATAGGGGATGGTGCTCCTGTCCTCTTACAGCTTTGTGGCCTCCTCTGGACCAACAGTTCCATGTCCTTCTTACACTGGGAGCAACAGAACTGTACACTGTGCTCCAGGTGGGGTCTGACAAGAGCAGGGTAGAGGGGGAGGGAGGCAGAATCCCCTCCCTTGCTCTGCTGGCCATGTTCTTGTTGATGCAGCCCAGGATTCCATTGGCTTTCTGGGCTGCAAGCTCATGCCAGCTCACGCTGGCAATCATCAACCATCACCCCCTAGTCCTTCTCCACAGGGCTGCTCTCAGTCATTCCTCTGCCCAGTGTGCAGGAGGACCTTGAACTTCTCTTTGCTGGACTTCATGAAGTTTGTATTGGCCCACCACTCAAAGGTGTCCAGATCCCTCTGGGTGGCATGCCTTCCCTCCAAGTGTGATGACTGCACTGGTGTCATCAGCACTTGCTAAGGATGCACTCAGTGCCATGTCCTGGGGATGGATCACAGGCTGCAGCCCTGCTCAGCAAGAGGGAAAGCAGCAAACCTGAGTGTCCCACTGTTCGTGCCTACGTCTCCAGTGCTGAGCAGAGCTGTAATGCCAAGGTGAGGCAGGAGGACCCTGGGGTGGGGCATCCCACAATGGGGTGGAACAGAATGGAAGAGAATGCTGCACTGGGGAAAGACAGCAAAGAACTGAACAGGGAGGCTGGGGGGTGGCTCAGAAGGAACCTGAGGCAGGGCAACAAGAAGTTTGAAAGGTGAGGTTGCTTTGCTGAGGACATTGAGTAGGCACTAGAATAGTAGACATTATAAGTAAGAAGAAAACCCCTAGCACAGTTTGAGTTAGAAGCTGCAATTCAATCTTAGGATTCCAGCACCTCCATTCCAGCTTTGTGACTAGGATGCCATGATGGTATCTCTCACAAGAGAAAGAGCTGCCTGTTCTGTTTTACATGATACACAGGACATGAGTCCTGGTCCTGTGCCCACTGCCTGTTATTTATTCAACATGACAGACACATGGAAAACAGAAGAGAGTATATTTAGAGGAAATAAAAGCCCAGACTCTAAGGCCACAAGATGCAGCTCAGTGGTTCTATAAGATATCTTTAGAAAATTACCATTTTCTGTGTTGTGGTAAATTAACATCTTCTATCCGAAGAGAATATTGACTTTTTTTGAACTACAAAGTTGGTGCTACAGATGATAAAAAAACAAATTCTTGCTCTCTGTCCCAAGAGCAATCAAAGCAGCCCTGATTATCAGAGAGCTCATGGATGACCAGACGTCAGTTTGAAACTGTTGCCAGTACATCAGCTTTGAAGTACAGGTTTCAAACATACTGGTAACCCAACAATCTGCCTGCTCTATTGCCTCAGCCACAGAGACAGACAGCATTCAAGAACCAGTTCTGTCTGCTCTGGAAGACAGCCCAAGGCAGAATCAGCAGTTCCACCACCTTCAAGTTAATCTCAGTTAACACTAATGACGCCAAGTAACAGCTACATTCATGGACTCCACTTCTACCAAGATGCTTGTGGTGCTAGGGTGAAGCGTCCTTCAAAACTGAAAAGTAGCCTAGGTTTGGCTTCAGAAAAGATTTCCAGGTATCACACAGAGTCAGCTGCTGCATGGCTCTGCCCTCCACTCCATGACATTTTGGGTCAGTGCACAGTGAGGTTGAGCTGGGGGAAAGTACACCATGCTAGCCATCCTCAACACCAAATGTCTTGCTAAGGACCTATCAGTAAGACACTGATGAAACGAGCTTCAATATCAAAGCCACTGCAAAATATTCCATTCTGGGAAACCAAATGAGCACAGTTTGCATCTCTGACTGCTTTAACACGCTTTAAGCAAGTTGCTGCAGGTACCAGAAACTTCGAGCACTGCAGCACAGAACTTTGCATGGGTCATTTGTGCTGCACTGTGCCACATAAACTGGGTCCAGAAGTTATATAACCTTGTCAGCTAAAACAAACAAACAAAACAAATAATTAAAAAAAAAATCTGTTTGTTAATGGAACTAAAGTGCATAATCACTGATAAATTCTGCTTGACTGGTATGAACAATATTACGGTTGAGAAAGACACAAGGAGGGGCTGAAAGAAATCATGTGACACAAACCTAAGACCTATCCCCTAATCTTAACTCTATCCACTCTGTCCCATCAGAAGTCATATAAATTTCAGATCTAAAGACGCCTTTTAATTTTGAGGAATAAAATAAAGCAGAAGAAAGTTCCAGTCCTACAAAGTTTTATGTGGGTATTTAACTCTATTTCCACAGTTTATCAAGTCACATAAAGTCAAATCATGTGTAAGTTTTTGCATAATGCAAATTTTTCCCTGTTAGCCTTTTCAGAAGAAGAATCATTTTGAATGACTAATACAACCCAGAATATTGTGCATCTACAACTAATAACATTTCAGTGTATTTGAATTTCCATTCAACTTTTGTCATTTGACAGAGCCATAAACAAACTAACCAGTTTATTTCCTACATTCTGTCCTTCAAACAGAGGACAAAGACAAAACGCCACATCAGATAGGGCAACATGTACTATTACAAGAAGCTATTTTCTTGAAATCTGCTAAAAATACCTACTTGGGTTTCACAACTTCATCCTGACCAGTGACAAGGAGCTCTGAATTCCTCTGGAGATGGAGAACACTACATGCTGTTACTCCATAGTGTTGATAAATTAAGTTTATTTTTAGGAATCACAGACTCTACTTTCAGAAAGTACCACCACTACTACACCCAGCTTCTTTTTTAAGGGACAGGCAAGAAGATGTGAATTCAAGCCAGATTAGTTATGCCACTGACTCAAGGCAAAGGTAGGGATTTTTATCCTGTGTTCTTCACCAGTTCTTTACAACTTCCTGGTCTTCCTTCCTTCCGAGCAGGAGGATGAAGAGCAGGAGTATCGCTTCATTCTTTGTGAGATTGTGTGCACGCGAAGAAGCAATGATGACTGAAAAAGGAGGCTGGTAACAGCTCAGAAATTTTGTTTTACGTATTTACAGTGGACAAAAGCATGCTTTCTCTGAAAATGACAGTCCAGCTTCCAGGTTATGCACAGGGGTTTTGCTGAGGCTGTGACTGATAGACTGGCGTAGTTACAAATGTGAAACGTTGAACGATTTGCCCACGTCAGAAGACGTGGATATTCCTGAGAAATGTCAGTCTAAGTGAAGCCCAAGAGCTGGAATTCAGCAACTCACACTCACAGGGTTTCTGAACAAGAACCTGCATGCTGACCATATGAAACACTCTGATGTTCCAATCCAGCTAGATCAGGTAAATCAGTTCCTGACCAAAAAGCATCACTGCTGGGCACCCTTCTCGAGCCAACAAGCCCAAAAGGATAATGATGGGAATGAAACTGTTCTTTCAGCCCCAGAGGCAGGGCTGTGCCACACTGGCAGAGCTGCTCTGCAAAACTGGAATGACTCCTGCACTGCCAGCCCTGGTGTTAATGGAAGATGCTAGGCTCAGCAATTACACCAGACAAGTCACACATGATGCCCAAATTCACTTCCAGGTCCTAACGAGATAATTGAAAAGTCAGAAACAGAGGCTGCCTTCTTTTCATAAAAAAAAAAAAATAAATTCTCTTCATGCATGAGGGTATGATTAGCATACAGGCATATATGTGACTATATAGATTACATATTAACAGAGACTTATTAAACATATATAAATGTGGCATGTTTATGTGGTTTTCATATGTGTTTCACAGAATTACACATAATTCCTTTCTGTAATCACCACTTGAGTTATGCACACAGTTACTGCTCACCCAAAGAGTGCTTGTGCCAGTTCTTCTAAGTTTACTTTGAAAATATTAGTGCTAAATTTAGGTATACTTAATTTTTAATATTAATTACGCCATTCCTGATATTAAAGCCACTGATATCTGCTAAAACTACCAAACAGTGTGTCCCATACAGCATTTATGCTGTTTAAACAGACCCTCTACCTAACAGGGAAGAGATACAAATGACACACAAATGCTCTGCACAGGACACTTATTCAGAGTACTGCTGGCAGCTCGAGCAATGCCATGCCACCTAAAGTTGCTTGTGGAGCTGGGGAGTTGGTGTGGAGAGGTTGTGGCAGGAGGAACAATGACAATAGAGAACACATCTACAGTTTCCATGAAACAGTGTTTGCTTAGCACACAACATAAGCACAGATGGGTCTGGTTTTTTTGCTGTGCTACCCTAAGCCAGCAATAGAAATCTAGTAGCATACAGCTACAAACTGCCACAATTTGGGACAATTTGACCCATTTTATAACCTGTGGCCTAAACTTTAGCTGTGGGTTTACCAAAATTCCAATATAAAATGACTTGGAGAACAACAGAACAGCAACAGTTTGTGCAAATTCCAGCTTTACAGTTATTAAATAGACATAGGCATATATGCATTGCCTCTGCAGACAGCTGGTATATTACATGACAATTTTTAATATACACAACCTATTTTATTCTCATTTTCAAGGATGAAAACTCTGATAACATAAACAGTCGGTACAAAAAGGTGTCATCTATTTGACTACTGAAACAATTTTCAAGTGCAGCCCTACAAGTCAAAGCCCTGTGTCAAAGAATACTGTAAGAGAAGCCAACTCTGAGGAATGGTAATGAAGGGGGCACGTGCTGGCACACCATATGTGCTGTACAAACAAGACCCCTCTCAGCTGCTGCATCTCTCAGCTCCCTTCAGCCTCTCACAAATTAAGTCCAGCTGATTGCCAACTGCAGCTGCAATAGCAAGCAAGTTCTTTATCAGGACTTCTCTATTAGTAGCTACGGGCAACCAACCCTGGGGTTCTGCCTTCTCTCCTACCTGCAGAGGTATGCTTGTGTTTAAGGCCTGAAAAACAAACTCATCAGGCTCCTGTAACCAAAAGTCTACCATTTTGATCCACCAATGCCAGGTGAAAATATGTCCTGCACGGTCAGACAGATGGAAGCCCCCCTGCCTTCTGAGTGGTTGGTCAGTCACATATTGTCTTACAGGCACCTGGAAGGGGCTGCAGGGGGAAGGGAGAGGGGGTAACAATGCTTACAGGATATAGATCAGAGACATGAGAAATACTTGGATGGCATTACCTGCCACACAGTTTAAATCTGTCAATATCATGCAGAACTTTCAGCTGTGCGTCTTCTGATGTGTTTCACAAGAAGCCTGTTATGTGGAAACAGGTGAACAAGCACAAGCACAAACTACTTCCCAGCACTGCTCTGCAAAAGCAGTATTTACTGGTTTTCTTTGAATTAGAAAGCCTCAAGATGACATACAGGAGTTGAGCCCTGTCATCCCTATGGGGTGAAGTACCAGCCTTCTTTGCATATGCAATGCAACAGCAAGCTCAGAAGCATCTTGTGTATCCTGATTGCTTGTGTCACCTGTTAAGCTCTAGGCCAAATCTACATACCATAAAGACCCCTTTCTCAACAGACAGAGTTCAGCTGGAGGAGAAAGATGGCAGGAGAGCACACTTCTGATCCCAAGTGACCTTATAACACCTGACCAAGAAGGTACTCCCTGACCTGTGAGGGGAATTCCCCCAACTAACACCAAAGTTTCCATTCCACCAAACTAACTCCCCTGTTCCAGCTCAGCAGGTGAGACTTTAGGACAGTGGAACCATGAAAAAGAGATTATGGACAGCATCCCCCTGTCTGTCACCCAGAGCTTCCTCTGCCCTCTGAGAACACTCCTTTCTACTGGTGCTCCATTAGAGGGGTAGAAGATCCCAAGTGAGACAGAGGATAGAGGGTCCCAAGAAGGATAGAGGGATAGAAGGTCCCAAGTACCACTTTTAGGGTGTTGGGGTTTTTTTGTTGGGGTTTTTTGGTTTTGTTTTTGTTGTTGTTTGTTGGTTTGTTTTTGTTTTTAGTTTGATGGTATTAATCCAGAATTCTGGAGAGGTGAATGAAAAGCCCTAAAAGGCACTTTGAAAAATTATGTTTCACACCACATGCATGTTTTAACTTAAGAATCTTGAGAGTCCATTGCCACAATATGCTACATCTCCCATGGGCACACCAGACATCATTGTCAAAACACTCAGCCCTTGTCTGTCCACGAAGGCACCTGAACCCTTACAGGATTGTGTTGGATGCTGCACTCCCAAATAACATTAAATGTTCTCAGCTGATTAGACACCTCATTCAGGCAAAACATAGAAACCAGCTGTTCCTACTGAAGGGGCTGAGTCTAACATGTATATGTCAGTGCACTTCACTCATGGGGTCAGGATGATATAAAAAAATAATAGACACCATTGTCCTTTTCAGCACAGCTGGGGCTGACATGGGTTTTACCCTGAACGTGGGACAATCAAAAGTCATCGACTCTTTTCCTGAAGAGCTGTAAGTCTTCCTTCCACAGGAAAGCACCCTGGGTGCCTCAGCCTAGAGGGCTCAATTGTCAAAGCCACTGTAACTTCACTACTGACCAGCAAATTACTGGTGTGGATGCAGGACATGCATGAACACACATGAGAAAAAAATGAGCCTCCATGGTCAGGAAACTGGGACACCCACCTGAGGGTGGGGAATCCTCCACTTTGGTCACCAAACGGAGCATGGAAGGAATCATATGAGCAGGAGCAAAAACACCAGTCCTTTTCTTACCAGTCATGAAAAACAAAATAAACCAAAACTTTATACACTGAAAAAAAAATCTCTAACATGGAAGGAAGGACATGGGCAGTAGCCAAGTAATTGTGCTATTGCCTTGCAGCAAGAAACAAATGCGGATTTGAACAGAGGAGACAGGTAACTGAATTAATTTGTCTCAAAAGTCAGCAACCCTCTTGCAGTCTAGAGAATGCCGAAGTTTAACACTAGTGTCCGGATTCCACTCAGAGACCCAAATATCTGCAGTCCCCCAAAGTCCTCTGACAGTCTTTTACATAGCTACTTCCTCTCCCAAAGTGCTGCTTTCCCCTCAAGTAAAGTGGTTCATATCACTCCAATAAGCTCATTATAACCAACTACGCTGGTACTTTCTGCATAGCTTCTGACATTCTTGTCTGCTGAAACTCCTCCAACCTTGGGGCTGTATCCCACGGATCCTGCTTTAATCCACCCCTACATTTTTCCTTAATGAGGTTCATATACCCCTGTGCACCATACACAAACACACACACAGAGACAAAGTTTTAAATAATTAGTAGTTTTCCCTTAAGGGTAAAAATGTGCTGTAATAGTATTTCTTTTTGTTATGAAATAATGTAAACGATCTTGGTGTGGTAATATTTCATAATAGGTCTGTGTTATGCAATTAAGGCTGTAGGATTCAGATGACTTACGTGCACCTGGAGATACTGACAGATGCTGGGGACTTGGAGCTGTTGAAAAGCACATATCCCTGTGCTTACATACACACACACATGGGTAAACACATGCACAAAACGACATATGCATCATCTGTCTACATCCTTTTACAAAAAAATACTAGGTACAGTAAGGTATGTGTAGTTTAATTTCTGGTAATTTCCGGTTCTCTTCAAATGAAGATCCCTTTGCAAATCTTGTGGCTCTTTTTTAAGGAAGGTAGATCTCCTACCCTCTCTTCTGTAAACCTTGTTGACTTCAGCAAGGCCACGGCAACTCAAAATCCTCAACTCTGATTTTTATTCTTTTCCTCAGATTTCTGTTTAGCTTGAAGAGAAAAATGCAGAAACTTGCCAAATGCTCATGTTTGCAAAGCAAATCCTACTGCCAAGAATATAATTATTTATTTGTTTAGCGACATTTTTCCTTCTCCTTTAACATCATTGTGTTAAGATAATGTGAACGACAGCATTCTCATGAAAAAGTTTCACACTTCCTCTTTCTTTAATTCCAACAAAGGCAGTGGCTGACTTTGCATGACCAAAGGTTTATCACCATCAGTGGAGTTAAACATCAGAGTGTTGGTTGCCTCAGCACAAGCACCACAGTAAATCACATGCCTGTCGTGACAGCATCAGGCACTTTTTCACACCTTCCATCATCCCACAGATCCTTCCATCTCAGGACTGTGGGATAGCAAAACCGTGTAGGAAAGGTAGGCTTTTAATATTCACCAAGAAGTTGGTGTGAGAAGGGAAGTAATCTGTTACTGCAGGGATAGAACAGAAAGATCAGTGTCTGGGGGATAAGAAAGATGACAAGTAGGATCAGGATCAGTCTTACTTAGAAGATAATACTGCGATAATGAGAATTGTAGTCAAAAAGTGTCAAGCCTATGTAAGATTAAAAGGTAGAGACAGGTTTTCTTGAAACAAAATTTTACTAGTTCACCACTCTAAAAAGAAACTGGACTGTTTCCATGCGATTTCCTTTTTCTCCTCTAACCCACAGTCTGCCCCATCAAGTCCCGGGGTGCTGTACAGGGCCAGACCCAGGACAGGCCACAGTCCAATTCCACTGCATGAGTGAACACACAGACATGGCTGGCACTGATTACTGCACAGTTACAAATCTGAAACACAGAGCAACAAACTGACACCAGGCCATCTATAGGTACACAGTACCAGATATGACCACTCCTGGAAATGGTCTGTAATCTACAGCACCTGCACGACCCTGGCACACTTTGCTGAGATCATGAACACACAGCCTACCTGTCCTTGTAGCAAGCAACTTCTGGCTCCTGCAGGGAGGATTTCACACTGCACTCTACACTCAGTGCTGGACATCTTGAGGTCAATCTGAGACCAGGTCAGGGCACAGAGCAGGGCCTTGGGGCACACAGGAGGTAAGTGTATTACAACAGTAGACTACAGTACAACACAACAGAATGTAAATCTGAGGTTCCTCTCCCACCTGCCCTTTACACGACTATTTGCATCCTCTAGAGCTTGTCTGCAGGAGAACTTCAGTCAATTTGGTTCCAAGCCCAAGGGATTCCAGCATTACTAACAGCACACTCACAGGGAGACAGTTTTTCAAACTGAGCATTGCAAGTGAAGTTCAGTGGCCTTGAAGGAAGGTCTGCTGTGGAGCACATGCTGAACTCCCTGACAAGAAGTGCCACATTGCCTGCTCTAAGTATGTAACTCACGTGTGAATGAAGACCAAACTGGGGAGCCTAAGTTACCCCTAGAAGCAACAGAAAGGGGTTGATGCTGTCAGGAGGGATGATTTGGCACACTTACATCTGTCTGGGTACCTCTAGTAGAAAGTGAGCATTCATTCCACTTAATCAGTAAAATAAATTATTGGTTTGGGGAATTATTGATCCTGACAACTTCCAACAAATGATAAGAATCCTTAATATATCACAGGATTTGACCCTAAGGAGCTGTACCTCAGATATACAAAATGAAACCAGACAGATTATTTTGCACTGATATTAAAATGAAATCCCTACTTGAGAGACCTGGTATTGGTTCAGCTTGCTGCATCCATCATTCTAGGATATGTGCTACAGAGATAACAAATACTACACCCCTTTACCTAAACCCTTACAATTCATCCTTAAGCCAACAGTTATGCCAAAATTATCCAGTACTGAAAATACTTCTGAAAATACTGCACTGTCAGTCTTTTATGTCATTCACCTGTAGGTGCATAGAGAATCCAAAGGTCTTTTTCCTTTTTCAGTAACTCTGTCAAACCACACTTTTAATCCAAGAAATGGTTGTAAGGTAAACACAAGAACCCCATTTGACTCAGATGTGCATCAGCAATTTTTTTTTTCCCTGCATGAATAACTGTCACTCCCATTTTCACTTTGGTAATTACAGAAGATGAGCTGATTTTTAATGTTTGTTCCAGCAGAGCTGAAGGTGTTGATTTCATTCAGACTTTAAAGTCTAATTCATGCAGTTGATCCACAACATTAACTGGAGTGCAGGTTTCACCAATTTGATAAAGTGTCTTCATAACAACAGATGGTAATTTGTTGATACTTTAGTCTTTAAATGGACTCTGTTACAAAACCACTTAAAATGCTTTCTTAAAAAAAAAAAAAAAACAAACAAAAAAACCCAAACCCAACAAAAATTGCCCCCTCCCAAGTGTTCAGATACTTTAACCCAAAGAAATTGCTGACAGATTTGTTTTCAGCCCAGAAGAGTAAAAAGCTGACAACATATTTTTTGCTGGATATGGTAACTTAGGTTTATTTTTAGGGTTTGGGTTTTTTTTTTAAAGTACACCAAAATAGCAGTGGGCTTAAAAATCACCATCTGCTTCTAGCAATGAAATAACTCTCTGAAGAATAGATAACAGGCATAAAAAGTCCACCCCCAACTCTTTCATTCTCCACAGCAAGACTGAAAGTCAAAATTATATATTACTTTCAAGCATTATTTATTTAATTAAAAAATATTACAGGGTCACAACATCCCTGTAAGTGTTCAATATATCTATTTATCAGTTATCACCAGCATAAACTGTTTACATTCCAGTCAGCAATAACTGAGTGGCAAGTGCTACTTCTATTGCTTTCGTGACTTAGAATAAAGCTGCTAACATTTACAGCATAATAAAGACTCTCCCTGTTTCTTTCTTTAACTCTGATTTAGTTCAGGTGGGAAAGATTCTAACTTGTAGGGAATTTTTTTTTTTTTTTTTTTAATGCCTATTAAAGCTATTCTGCAATCAGTATTTGCATGTAAATAAATCTGAGCTGGTTTGCATCCAGCTAGTTTGGATCCTACTAACAGTGAATCACTATGTCAGTTCTAGATGGTGCAGGACCTGGACATTTGCTCGCTGGCTGAAGCCTGTCAGCACAGTTTCTCAACCCTCAGCAGAGTTTATGCCTCTGACAGCTCGAATGACTGCACAAGAAGACAAAGCCTGGCCCCTATCTCCTGTGCTCTATCCATGCGCCAACAGCCTTAGAAAACAGTGCGGTATTATTGCTATCACCCTTGTGTCTTTAGAAATTTACACAATGTCAACAGAGCTCGAAAGGGATGGAGGAGCATCCATCAGCTTTCCATGAAAATGGGTTTGATGAAAGAATAAATGCTCAAGTTAAAGTTCCCGCTCCACCTCCCTCGCAGAGGAAAACTGGCACAACTTGGTCGTCACCTATCCTGTGAGGGCTCCAGCCACAAAGAGCACATCCCAAGGTTGGATGGCACACCCCCCCTCCCCTCAGCAGGTGATGTCAGGGGAGTGGGAGCACCGACTGCAGGAAAGGATGCCACCTTGCCTTTGGTGGCAAAGGCCAAAGAGGAGGAGAAAACAGGTTTCAGTGTTGGGAGTGGGGGTGGGACTGTGTTCGCTGGTTCTGTGATTTCACTAAAGATGACAAATTCTCAGTTGCAGTAACTGCAGTTAAAAACATTTCAAGGTTTTGAACTACAGAACAGCATTTATCTTTTTAGTACCATTTTCAAGAAAGGTACTTCGGTTTGTTGCTTCCCCCCCTCTCCCCCCACGAAATTCCATTTAAAAAACATCTTTTTCAGAGATTAAGATTAAATCTTCTAAAGACAGAAAATGAGATAAAACATTGCAAGATACTTCAAATAACACATGAGTTATAAACAACTAAGTTCACAAAATGAAGAAGTAATAGTGTTTAACAAGTACCATTTCTGACAAATAAGTCTTACGGTATTTATTTAAAATCTAACATCACAACAGCAACAATTCAAAAAAGATGCCCATAGTTCATACTTATACTTGGTGGATCAGAATTTTTGTGAAATTAAGTGTCTAGCATTGAAAAGACCTGCTAGTGACCACTGCAGGAACAGTATTTAGGCTGACTTTCATATTTTGAGAGCAGAAAAATAATGGAGAAACATATGCTTTGTCATCATATCTTGCTTTGGCAAAGGCAGAACTTCTTCACAGTAACATGCAAGAATCCTCTGTGTCTAGTAAACAATTAAGAGATATTTTATTTGTGAGGGAAATTTGGTCTTTTTTTTTTTTCTGAGTCAGTAGTCAACAACAAGAGAAAGGAACTTCTCCAACAAAGGGGAAAAAAGAAAGTAATTAAGGAAACTGGTGGGTTTGAAAACTCTAGTATTCTCTGGGCATTTTCAAAGGGGACCCTCTTCACTGAAGAACAAAAAAGAAAGAACAGACTATGAATAGCCAAGATTCTTAGTGATCTCACTGGGAATTACACATTTATTTGGAAGGCATTAAAGGAATAAAACTGCAGAAGTAAGATCTGATCCAAATTTCGTTATGTAAACGGAAAAAGAAAATTTTGTTGTCTTAAAAGGAAATTGAATTAAGCTTTTAGTTCCCAGTTAATGATACACTAGTAAATGTAGAGAATTGCAGGGGAAGTGATGAAGGAGAGATGCCATTTTGGGTTGGGTTGGGTTTTTTATATTACTTGTTTAGGGTGCGATTTACTCAGATTTATTGTCATAAGACTCTCTCTCCTACTGACTATATCTCTCTAAAGTGGCATTCAGATACATGGGAAATGGGGCATATTGTAAATTGTAAATGTTTCACTAGAGTCTGTAGGTGAGCAAAGAGTGCTACACAACTGCACAGGATCCAGTGTTCACTCCAGACAACATATTCCTTTCTTCATAGTAACATACAGTTATGGTTCTAATTGTATTTCTCAGTCTGAAACAAAGAGTCCATAGAGTCTTCTTTCTTTCACAGTCT